TCAGTTCTCACTTACTGCTCTTGTAGAGAACTCTGGTTCAGTTCTCAGCACCCACATGTGGCTCACAACTGCCTGCAACTCCAAGGGATCAGCTCCTGCAGACCTTAGACAGGCACACACATGCACAAAGAAACACACTGAGCCTTGTAAAGAGCACTGACAGTCAACTATCCCAGAAGGAACTTGACAACATTCTGTTTGTTTTGTTTTGTTTTTTCTCACTATGTGGTCCTGGCTGTCCTAGAACTCACTCTGTTCACCAAGCTGGCCTCTGCCTCTTGAATCCTGGGATTAAAGGCGTACACCACCACTTCTGAATCCTTTTTCTGTTTTTGTTTGGATATGTTCTTTATTTACATTTCAAATGTTATCCCTTTTCTCCCCACCCCCTAGCCTTTTGTTTTTAAGACAGGGTCCTACAGTGCTGACTGTCCGGGAACTCACTTTGTAGATCACAATGGCCAGGAACTAATCCAACTACCCCAACCTCCCAGGAGCTGGGATTAAAGGCGTGTGCTACCACATCTAGCTTGACAGAATTCTTTAAAAGACAGTAAAAAACATTCAAAGAGGCCGGGCGGTGGTGGCGCACGCCTTTGATCCCAGCACTTGGGAGGCAGAGGCAGGCGGATTTCTGAGTTTGAGGCCAGCCTGGTCTACAGAGTGAGTTCCAGGACAGCCAGGGCTACACAGAGAAACCCTGTCTCGAAAAACCAAAAAAAAAATAAAAAATAAAAAACATTCAAAGAGTGGAAAAGATTGGTAAATACAGTAAGTAGTCAGATAGCAAGGAACTTACTAGTTACTTTTTTAAGAGAATCATTTATGCTGGGCAGCGGTGGCACACGCCTTTAATCCCAGCACTTGGGAGGCAGAGGCGGGTGGATTTCTGAGTTCGAGGCCAGCCTGGTCTACAGAGTGAGTTCCAGGACAGCCAGGGCTACACAGAGAAACCCTGTCTCGAAAAACAAAACAAAATAAAAAAGCAATGTGTAAGTAGTTTGTAAAAAACTTTATATGTGTAAGTCTGTGTGAGTGCATGTTGAGTGAGGACACAAAGAAGGCCGAAGGCAGCACTGGAGCACCGGATCTACTGGAGTTGCAGTTACACATGGTTGTGAGCATCAGAATATTAGTGCTGGGAACCAAGCGTAGTCCCTCTGAAGAGGGTACTCCCTCTTAACCATGGAGCTATCTCCATGGTTAAGAGCTATCTATCCTTTGCACAGATTTTTTTAAAAAGTGTGTATAAACACAAACTTCTCGAGTAACACAGAGTACTCAAGCCAGGAGTGGTGGCCCGCACCTTTAATCCCAGCACTTGGCAGAGGCAGGTAGACCTGAGTTCCAGGACAGTCTGTTCTACACAGGGAGTTCCAAGACAGCCTGAGCTACGATGTAGTGTCAAAAAATAAAAAAGAAAGAAAAGAAAATGTACTCTGGACAGCCTGACTGCCCTTAATCCAAACACCAACTCTCTGAAACTCCTCCACAAGTCCAGATAAAAACAACTCCATGACTGCACCTAACTGCCCTCCTGAAGGCACAGCTCTGCATGACCCACCAACCGTTTCCACAAGCCAATTCCACCTAATGACCTAGCAGGGACTGCTGTAACAGTTGCTAAAAGGTTGAAGGCTGTTAGTGGCTCAAAGACCCACCTTCTCTGGTTCTATAAGAAGGGTGCTCAGGCTCACTAAGTAAGTCAGCTGTAGGTCATCTCTCCTAGTGTGATAAAGGCCTAATAAAAGGCTTTTATTAGAGATGTCTTTTCTTGCCTACTTTCAATGGTGTGAACAGAAATGGTCACACAAAATCACCAGCAAAGATGGCAGAGGGGTGCCGACAGCAGGAACAGCACAGATGAACAATCCTGCGACCAAGCTGTGAAAGTCACAGGCAGTTTGGTAGCCTGACAGCTAAAGCAGCCCCTTCACTAGTTGTCAATGCATGTACGTAAGCTTTGCAACGCAGAATTACGTTCTCTCCCAATATTGCTATATTATCTTAGTAATTACCATTTCTTAAATACCATTTCTAAAGACTTGATGTCTGCTACCTAAATCAGCTGTACTCGTTGGCCAACAAAGGACCCAGGTTTGGTTCTCTCCAACAAGATGAATCACAATTTTAACTCCCTCTTCCGACCCGCAGAGACACCAGGCAGTGCACATTCATACACCCAGACAGAACACTCACACGAATGTCTTCAAAATTGTGAGGTTGGGGGAGTGGACTCGTTACTGGTGGCGCACATCTTTAATCACACCATTCTCAGCAGAGGCAGGCAGATCATTGGGGCTACCGAACTGAGATCCTGATCCCAAAAAATACATCGTAGCACATTCAACGGACACTTGTGTAACCATCTTCAGAGACTACTTGAACAAGAACAAGAATTAAAAACTGGTGTTCAGCTATTTTGGCGTTGTGAAGGAGTTCATACTTGTAATCCCAGCATGGTGAAACTGAGACTGGAGGGCTACAGCCAGGTCTAGAGTCTAGGACAGTCTCAGAAAACGTGTGTAACTGTATTATCCCTTCAGGGAATCCATGTGTCCTGGGCAAAGGAACACAGGCGAGGTCCACAGAAATGAGACACACAGTGCCGTAGGAAAAAGACATCCCCACGGGAAGCCCAGGGTCAACACAAGCGCGTGTAAAACCACAGCCGCGGCCCACTTCGCAGGCCCGGCGTGCGCGTGCGCTTAGCGCCCCGAGGCCGAGAGCCGCCCCGCGCAAGCGCGGAAGGAATACGCCGCGAGTGCGGGCGGCCGTGACCCCACAATCCGCCGGCGGGGAGGGCTCTCGCCGCTTCCGGCGTGGCGGCGTCCGCGGCTGCGGGTCGCGCACGCCTCGGTCGGGGCTAGTCCCTTCTGCGCCGCCTCCCGCCCCTCTGTGCCGGGCCCTGGGCAACCGGGCGTCCCACGCGCACCTTGACGCTCTGATCGCTGGAGCAGGTGGCCATCCGGCGCCCGTGGAAGTCGAAAGACACATCGTGGATGAGGTCCTTGTGGTCCGCCGCGATGCTGCGCGCCACAAACATGGCCGCCGCCGTCTGCCCGGCCCGCCTCCGAGAGGGCGGCGGTGCGGCCCGCAGCCCCGGGACCGCCGCGGAGGCACGTACGGCACGTCGGCCCTCGCCTGCCCGCGTCGCCCCGGCGTGCCACGCCCCGAGGGACACGCCCTGCGCGGGCGGAGCCTGTGTCCAAACCTCGCTGCAGTCGCGGACGAAGCCTGGAGACCGAGGAGAATGGAAAAGTGAAAGCGCCTTCCGGGGTCAGCCTGGGGGTGTGTGCCTCCGTAAACACGTGATCGCTACACCGAGCGAGTAGAGACGTCCACCTGCAGGTCAGAATGGGAGGCTCAACCGCTTAACTAGGATTCCTTAGGAACGATGAAGACTCCTAAAGTTGTGGCTCTGAGGGAGTCCCGCTCAGCGAGCACTAAGTCCGCCAGAAGGATGAAATTGAAATGAGTGGAGGACCTGAAGCAGCGGTCAGTGCTAAAAGATAGCACAAATACAACAGGCCCGAGGATCAGCAAAACCAAAATGAGGAAAAAGAAGTTCTAGAAAGTCACCTGGGGTGATGGCAAGACCCAAAATGATGTCCAATATTTACTTGCATGGAGCCAGTCTTTAATGGAGAAGTAAGTAAAATTAACAAAAATAGCCTGCAAAACGGAACCTGTGAAGGAAAGTGCTCAAATCAGGAGACTCAGTGAAATTCAGGAAGTGGTGGAACATCATTCTACACGGGTTTTAGGTGAGAGGTTGTCTGTCTAACTCCCACGGGATCAAACTCTGGCTTTGGCTCCCTGAGCACCAGGATGCACGTGGTGCACAGGCATACGTATAGGTGAAACATGCATACACATAAAAATAAAGATGTTTATAAAGAATGAGAATCGTTTTTAAAAGCAGACTTTAAAGGGTCTCAAAATAATTGGTCCCACTTGTTCTCTGATGGATTTGTACAGAAACCTGCAGAGACTGATAGTGAAATGACCTTACCAGTCTTGAGTCTTCCTTACTCTTCTTTAAATTAGTAAGATTTGGGGCACGGCTTGAATGACTCACCACCTTAATTGCAGCTCCAGAGAATCTGAAACATCTGGATTCCTTGAGGATCTGCACTCTCCTACACACAGCAAATACACATACACGCAGAGCTATAAATAAAAGTAATCCTTTTTTTTTTTTTTTTGGTTTTTCGAGACAGGGTTTCTCCGTGTAGCTCTAGCTGTCCTAGAACTCACTCTAGACCAGGCTGGCCTCCAACTCAGAAAAAAGTAATCCTTTTTTAGATTATATTCCTATTTTAGAGGTAGTCCCCAAGTCCATCAGCTGTACATAAAACTAATAACCATTCATTTCCAGAGACATTAATTTCCAAAAACAAAGCACTATATAAAAGTGCAATTAAGTCTATACTTTTAAAAGTAAACATTTATGAAAGCTAAGTTTACATTTTTTAGAGACTTATTTATTTTTATGTGTAAGAGTGAATTGCCTGCATGTTTGTAGTATAGCATGTATATGCAGTACCTGTAGAGGCTAAAAGAGAATGTTTAATCCCCTAGAACTGGAGTTATACACAGTCGTGAGCTGCCTGGTGGGTGCTGGGATACCAACCCAGGTCCTCTGAAAAAGCAGCCAGTAACCTTAACTGCTGGGTCATTGCTCCAGCTCCTGAAAGCCAAGTTTAAAGACAGTAAACATTAACTGAAAGTAGAACATGGAATTGAAGAAATAGAAGTTTTAGAAAAACAGACCTGCTGGGCAAGGGGGGAGGGGTGCTCTCTTTTAATCCCAGCACTCATAAGGCCAAGGCGGGCAGATCTCTGTGAGTTCAAGGCCTGGCTGTTCTACAGAGTAAATTCCAGGACTACACAGAGAAACCCTTTCTCAGAAAAAAAATAAAAGGAAGAAAGAAAAGAAAAAGCAGACTTAAGTGTTTAAAGCACAGGCAGACACATGCGTTATTGTTATGGTCAACGAACCTACAGTGAGACCATAAAGAACAGTTGACAGTAGGGCTCATCCTAGGCGTATATGCTATAGGTTTTGATAAACAGAAAAATGGCATGTATCCATCACTGCAAAATCATACAGAGTAGTTTCATTGTCCTAAAAATCCTATGCTACTAGAAATCAATCCGTGTTCATCACCCTTCCACATGGGAGGTTGTCCCAACCATGCTGAAATGGTGACTGGCCTGATCTTGTGCAGCCAGTCAACAGCTGCTCCCCAGTCCTGAAAACAATGGCCAGAAAACATGAGCACTCCACAGATGATTGCTCTCTCCACCTTGACCAGTTGTGAATCTCTGTATTAAGCCCCATACTCAGTAAAAACAGAAGCTTCCCTGGCAAGGACCGAAAACACCATTAATCTATGAGTATAGAGATAAAAAGGTAGATTTATACTATGTCTATTCAGCAAAATAATAATAGTAGCCCAACAGCTGATGGTCTCCCACCCCAATTTATACCCTAGGCACGAGTGTCCTCCCGTGGAGCAGGACTTAAATCCAATCAGAAAGCAATTTGTTACCCAGTAACATTTATGCCGCTATTGCAACCACCGGTGTATCTTGCCAGACCAGTCACTATTATAGCTCGCAGGGCTCTCAGCTAGGGAAGACTATTAGTTTTTCTTCCATAGCAGCCCATATAGCACCTTCTTGTAGTACCCAGCAGGGGAGAAGTCTGCCAGTCAGTAACAGCTTGATTTTTCCAAGCCTTGTGACCAAAATGATGTCTTCAGCAATAGGGTCTTACCATCAAATTCTGGTAGACAGCTAAGAGTATTGCCCTGTGTTGTTTTAGGGATCTCTGAGACACCTGTAATTTTGCATATAAATTTTTAATATCACTGTATTATTTTTGCTCATTAAGCTTCAACAGTGACTCCCTTGGATACATAAATTTAAAAACAATTTGAAATTGATGTTTTGTATATAAACATCCAATCAGAACAACAGATTTCAAATTGAGACTCTGAAACACATACACACAAAAGTTACAAAGGTGTTGGAGGAGCTGATTAAAATAGAGCAATTCTGGTTGTGGTGATGCACACCTGTAAGTCCAGCACTCAGAAGGTGGAGGCAGGGCTGCAGTGATGGCTCAGCAGTTAAGAACACTGACTGCTCTTCCAGAGGTCCTGAGGTTCAATTCCCAGCAACCACATGGTGGCTGACAACCATCTGTAATGAGAATCTGATGCCTTCTTCTGGTGTGTCTGAAGATAGCAACAGTGTACTCACATACATGAAATAAGAAAAGAAAATGAGCCAGGCGTGGTGGCGCACGCCTTTAATCCCAGCACTCGGGAGGCAGAGGCAGGTGGATTTCAGAGTTTGAGGCCAGCCTGATCTACAGAGTGAGTTCCAGGACAGCCAGGGCTACACAGAGAAACCCTGTCTCAAACAACAACAACAACAACAACAACAAAAAAAAAAAAACAACAAAAAACAAACAAAAAAAAGAAAAAAGAAAGAAAAGAAAAGAAAATGACTTTGAAACTTCACCGTATCAGTGTTGATGGCTGACCTCAGCATCATTCAGTTGCTAGGCAAATGTTCCACTACCAAGCTAAACCCCTAAATGAAACTCATTATTCCTCGTTGTGATACACTACAGTTTCGATGCAAAACACAGCTGTTGTTCCAAAGTCATAGATTCCAGAGTCACTGAGAAGTGGCATACAGCAAAGCGGGAAGCCTCTGCTACAGCCCCAGCTCTGGGGTTGGTGGAAGCCAATGGTTTGCTAAACTAGTGTGTTCCAAATGCTTTACCTGACAGTCAAAAAGGTACCTAGTCAGATCCAGAGGCAGGTGGGAGGTAGCTAATAACTACAATTAAAGGGACCTAAGACAGCCTGAGGTAGTTTTTGTCTTCTGACCTGCAACTTTTCAGCTCCCTGAAATCATGCAATTCTCATTAATCTGAAGAATCTCCAGTGCAAATGAGAATTCTGTTCATCGTTGAAAAACTTCAGTTGACCTCTGGTTGTTCACTAGTGGATTGGGAGTGATTGTTTGTCTTGGGACTTTTGTTTTGTTTTGTTTTGTTTCTCTGTGGCGTCCTGGCTGTCCTGGAACTCACTCTTTGGACCAGGATGGTCTTGAACTCATCAGATCCACCTGCCTCTGCCTCCCAAGTGCTGGGATTAATGGCATGCGTCACCACCATGAGGCTTCACAGTGTTTTAATTGGGAATTTAGGTTCTGTGTTTTAAAGACTATTGGTTGTTCTATTTCCCATTTCACTGCCAACTCTCCCCCTCCCTTTTTTTTTGGGGGGGGGGCCACAGGTCGTTTGTTCTTTAAAAACACAGTCATTTCACCAAGGTTTTAGAAGTTCCCCATAGAGTTACAAACAGCAGCCAGGCCTTTAATCCTAGCACTCAGAAGGCAGAGGCAGGCAGATCTCTGAGTTTAAGGTCAGCTTTGTCTACAGAGTGAGTTCTAGGACAGCTAGGGCTACACAGAGAAACTCTGTCTCAAAACAAAAAGGAGTAATGTGTTATAACTTAAAACCCTTAGTCCAGACTGATGATGCCCATCTGCCATCACAGCCACTTGGAAGAGTGAGGCAGCAAGATCACAAGCTTCAGTCCTTGGGTGACATAGACCCTATCTCAAAATTAAATTTGGTAAAATGTGCAAGCCCCGTGTTCCAGCCCTGATGCCTGAAAACCCAAGCCTGCCAAGTGTGAAGTAATGCATTTTCTTGTTTCTATAACACTTTAGCGCCAGGTGGTGGTGGAGCACGCCTTTAATCCCAGCACTTGGGAGGCAGAGGCAGGCAGATTTCAGAGTTTGAGGCCATCCTGGTCTACAGAGTGAGTTCCAGGACAGCCAGGGCTACACAGAGAAACCCTGTCTCGAAAAACCAAAAAAAAAAAAAGAAAAGTAAAATAAAAAAATAAAATTAAATAAGCACTTTAGCCTTTGCAATGACATATAATGTGCAAGCTAACATGTACTTGTGCCTTCAAACATACAGCTTAGTGAAAAATCACAACTGAACCAACTGGCAGCCATCATCAGATGGAGAACCAATGTGACCAGCACCCAACATGCCTTCCGGTATCTGCTGTAATGGCCACAGCTCTGTCCCTTGAGAGCTGAAGGGTGAGCTTTAGGGGTGAGCGTTAA